AGCTTTTTGTGTCGTGTCGAAACAATGAGTTTTGTGAGTTTTTGGAACAGAAATCGTTGTATATGAGCCTTGATCGAATTTCATAAATTCAGGAAGTACGTTCGGTTTACGGCGACGAAGTGAATCCGGAGCTGATGAAAGGTTTCTATCGAGCCGCAGGTCAAATACTCTTCTCTTCTGAGGTCTGCTTTCAGCATATTCCTTTGTTTCGTTTATCTTCCGTGAATGTTTTTGAAAACAAATTTCTTCTCGTAGCCAACAGCGTTCATCTATTTTGCTGGTTTAAAATGATTTTCTGAGGTAATTCTGAAGAAGCGAAAAATGTGTCCAATAAAGATTTGAGAGGATGACTTAAATGCTTCTGGTAAGTTGTTGATTAGAAGTTGATGTCGAGCTTTTTTTTAATATTTAAATACTTTTTTAGGCACTATGGGATGTGATTCATTTGTTGAGTCGAATCCTGAAATTCAGTTTTGTGTTATTTCAAGAGACGCAAACGATTCTGCTGAATAATCCTTTGTTCAGACGGAAAGCGTTACTGCTTGAGAAAATCTCCTCGACTGTTTTATTGATGTAATCTTTTTGAACCAACTTCATTCATATTCGATTTTAACATTCAATGAAATTTTTAGAATTTATCAGTTTTAGTGCGTTGCAAAGAGTATTTCCAATGAGCGATATTTTTAGAATTTAGAACTTTTATTATTATTGATAAAAAAGACTGTCATTGTTCCGTTATTGACATTATCATTATCGGAATTGATTCGTTATTATCAGTACTGTTACTGCAGCATATTACTAGGATTTTGACGGCTCACTTAGAAATGAAACAAATTTTTTTTTTCACATATTCAGCTCAGGTGCAGACCACTACAATGTTGATGGAAAGTTATGCAAGGAATCAATGCGAATCGCATCGAAAGCTATTGTGTGCGATATGACGCAGAAAGTTTATAAGAATTTATCACAGCATTCACTCTTAAATACCCTTAAAGAGGTTTTCATTTGTAATTTCATTTGAATGATTTTTAATCGTTTGTGAAATTCGATAATGATCGAGTGTAGAGGATAGTTGTCGAATGTTCCAGTGCAAGGAAACCTTTTAGTTAGCTATGTGTTCTGAGAGAATTATTAATGTTTCAACATCTGTTTCGCGTATCCAGGACGATCGTGAGAGTGTTGTACAGTGAAAATTGAGTCTTAAAGACTCAAAATATCCATTTAATTTTTTTCGAAATGATCTCTCAGAGGCCTTGTATATGTATTTAACCATATGCGATTCGAGTCTTTTGATGACAGATAATATATTCGTAATGTATTGCAGAAGAAGGACGATCTTCGGAAATGGGCAACACGATTGAGTTTGCTTCAAGAACTGAACGTACTCGATATTGAAATCAACGCGACAATGGAGAAATGCGTTGTGGATATTCTCACAAAACAGGTCAGAATTGAAATAGTATCGTGTTTGTTTGTTGTGCTCATTGTAGTTGCTGTAGCTTTGGTTACGTTAATGATAGCAACATTGCTGGTAATGGTGATATTAATGTTTATAAGATTACTAATGGTCATCACGAAGATTTAGTGTGCCTATGATGTTGCCTATGATGGTGATATTATTTCTACTAGTAATGATTGTTACTTGACTAGCATCCCTTAACTTTCTTCTACTTGAAAATAAGATAATTTACGTAGCAGATCATTTTTTCTTCCAGTTTGAAATGATCTTTAAATTGGATTTGTCCGTTTTGGTGAAGGTTTTTGAGTAATTGACTAGGTATTTGATAGTGATAATGATTAAGTGAAGAGTGGATGTGAAACGGGTGAACGTATTCGTGAATTGAAGCATTCGAA